TAGGACTCACTGATACTAGGCTAATATGATGTAGTGGATGGCTTAACACAATATGGCCTTATAGTGTAAATGAATTCCCATATTTGTTTGCTCAGATAGGTGATTTTAAGTAGTCTTTAAAATTTAGAACTGTGTTGTTGTTTTTTTGTATATGTACTGTTCCCTAATCTGTATTTTGGATATATCTTAATAAATAATAAATGCCAATCTGCAGTTGCTAAGGCCAGTAAGGTATTGTCATGTATAAATAGGGGCATATATTCTAGGGATGAAAATATAATTTTACCTATTTATAAATCGCTGGTAAGACCACACCTTGAATATGCTGTGCAATTTTGGGCACCTGTTCTAAAGAAGGATGTTATGGCTTTAGAAAAAGTGCAGAGTCCGGCTGCAAAATTGATAAAAGGAATGGGGCATTTTAGTTATGAGGAAAGGTTTAAAAATTTTAAACCTCTTTAATTTGGAAAAATGGTTTCTCAGAGGGGATATGATAACATATTTATATTATGTATATTTGGGGCCAGTACAAACTATTGTCTGGAAATCTATTCATAAACAGGACTATACATAGGACACGAGGTCACACATTTAGGCTGGAAGAAAAGAGATTCAGTCTAAGACAAAGAAAAGTTTTTTTTACGGTAAGAACAATAAGGATGTGGAATTCTCTGCCTGAAGAGGTGGTTTTATCAGAGTCCATACAGATGTTTAAACAGCAATTGGATAAGTACTTGCAAAAACATAATATACAGGGATATAATTTCTAATTAGTGGGGAAATAGCTTCTTGAAACAAGAAGATATCTAACTGCCATTTGGAGGCAGAGAAGGAATTTTTACCTAGTTTCTTCATAATTTGAAGGGCTTCAGACTTTTTTTTTTTTGTCTTCTTTTGGATCTACAGCAAAAACATATGTGAGAAGGGCTGAACTTGATGGACGCAAGTCTCTTTTAAGCTATGTAATTATGTAATATTTTGGTCTTTACAGCAGCACCACTACTTAGAAATGCTTCAGGGTGTACTCCCAATTCCCTTTTAATTCAATAGTTTCAACCAGATTTGCCTTAAGTAAACATGAAAGTTCAAATATAATTGAAATTCTGTTCTTTAATCAGATTTTGCTTTATTTAAAAAAAAATATTTAGTGAATAGTTTCAAAAGATTAGCATTAGCAATGACTTCTCAGAATATTTACGTTAATATAATATGAAGTAAATATAAATTAAATCAAAACCTTAAAATCCAGAAAACATGGTATTACAAGTGGTGAAAGTGAAGTTGGGGGTAACAATGAGAACATTGAAGTTAAGTAGGAATTAATGGAAGAAGGTAGTGAGGCCAGACGGACTGAATTAAAATGGAATTAATCTTAATATAACTGGTAAAGGAAGCCTGTTTGTGTTTTCAAAAGTTTGCAAAAAGTTTTCAAGGGTATATCTGATTGGATGTAAGGAGGGAGCTGGTTTCAGTAGTTTGTAGTAGATGAGAATATGATGGTTTGTGGGAAAGCACTAAGGAATGGTTATAGTAGCTGTGTAAATACTGGAGTGGAGAGAATGGATAGGGATATAGGTAGAGGAGGAAAGAAGAAACAATGGTTAGAAAGGAAGAGTATATCAAATCATAGAATTCTAAAATAAAGGACTGACAAATTGGAAGGCAATAATGATTTTTAAAGAAGGACGCAGCAGACTAATACAGATAGCAGCATTCTGACTGCATGGAAATGGAATGATGGCATGTTAATGAAGGCAACAGAGAAAAAAATATTAGGGAGAAGTTAAAGGAACTCTCAAAGCACCACACCAGCCCCACACCAGCTCCCAGAGATAGGCAGCAATAAATAAAATAATTTTTGTGTGCAAGAATGTGTAAATGTGTGTGTGTTGTAGCGGACCATGGGTATAACCCGACTGGTTACCTCTGCTAATTCCTTCTCTCAGCCAGACTGGAACCATTAAAACAAGCAGACATCCATTCCCCCATTAATCAGACGAAACATAGATCTGGGAGTCAACTTATTTTATTTCAGGCCACACATGGCTTTTATGCATAGACCCCTACATGGGGTTTCCAACACAAAAACACAGGGTTTTCATTCCCAGGATCCTTTGTGCCTGAGAGATAATTGCATGAGAAAAACCTATAAATTAATTATCTCTCAGGTACAAAAAATATATACAAAACAAAGAGTACCCCAAAAGTACCCCCAACATAACTATGAACCCCACAAAAGTTATACCCCCAGATAGCCCCAATTTGAGTGTATAACATATCCAAAGATCACTTTGATCTGTTTGGTATAACTGGAATGCCACAGGGGTAAAGTTTTGACCGGACAGACACGAGGCTCTAGCCCAAAACAGTTACAGGGAAATAGGTTTCTTGGTCGGTCTCTGTTCGGGGGTTCCTGTGCGAACACCATGCAGGGGATTCTCTTAATTTCAGGGTACGAATGCTCCCCTTGTTTGGTAGTTTCCATCTCCTGAACGTCGTTCGCATAGTTGGTCAGGAAGTAGAATGGCCAGCAGTCTAATCTTCAATGGGGTTCATGAAAAGAGTTCCAGGCACTCAAAAACCAAGTACCGCTGCCTACATTTGGGAGACAAAATGGCCACCACTTTTGTTGACAACGTGCATTCTGTTATACGAAATAGCGTCAACCCTTGTGGTTTCACACTTAAGTTACTAAGTGAGAACATTCTAAAGGGGTACCAAGGTGGTCCTCATACGGGAGTTGAATGCAAAGTGTTCATATATTATAACTCCCGAACGGAAAAATATTAAACATATGAATCCATACGTATTTGACTGTAGATTCCACCACATGTGTGTCTGTCAGCGAGTGTGTGTCTGTCAGTGTGTGTCTGTCTGTCAGTGAGTCTGTGTGTCTGTCTGTCAGTGAGTGTGTCTGTTAGTACTGTTGTACTCGTGAGACATTGCTGAATACAAATATAAGGGCTTTAGAGCAGTGAAATGTATTGTGACAAAATCCACTTCACAACTGGGTTTTGGAGAGGACTACTTGCTAGCGTTTTACCTTTTGACTATGGCCCCTGTGACTTATTTTGTTCTAAGGCACTATTTTGGCCTATTGGGATTGTGGACAATGGCTCTATAAACTTTCTAAATAGTCAAAATGGCACTTCAGATACAGCCGAAGTGTCAAAGTGGCCACCATTCGACATTCAAACAAATGTGGCGACAGCCATTTTGTTTAGTCGAACGTGTTCAGCTGTGTTTTGTCGTCGAGTTCATGGAACTCAAATCGGACATGCGACGGCATGAACACTGCTGAAACTTTACCTTCTCTGGGACTTCAACTCTTCGACGGGACTCGAACGGTGTTCGACAATTCGAACGACACTTCAACATTGACTTCGTGCATTCAAAGTGAACTTAGTCATTGGAAATAGACCGGCCGCATAGCCAAATTCTCTGGAACTGTTTTGGAGAATGAAACATGCATGCGGTCGGTCAAAAGAGGCTTCCATAGAACTTTGGAACACCTTCTCTGATTTGGGTGATTTTTGGATATGTTGTTCACTCAAATCAGGGCTATCTAGGGATGTAGGATTTATGGGGATATGTTGGAGTTTTGGGGTTTTCTGCACTTTAAAAATGGGTAAAAATGGGTGAGAGGAGACAACCGGCCTCTCTCCCCAGCGGTAGTGCATCCTACAGGGAGAGGAGGCAACAGGTCTCTCTCCCCAGCAACACAACACAGGGAGTAGAGACAGCTGGTCTCCCTCCTCAGCGGCAGCCGGATATACCGGAAGAGGAGACAGCTGGTCCCTCTCCCCAACTACAGGTGGACAGCACGCCCAACCCTAATGGTGCAGATCGGACTGCGGTCTCTGCACCAGAGCTACAGGGATACTGGACGGTTGGTCCAGAGTCCCAACTCAGCACGCCGAAGGACCAGGAGGGGGTAAGCAATTTCTCCCCTCCACAGAAGAAGATGCACCTTTTTTTATACGTGTGTGTGTGTGTGGGGGGGTGGGGGGTTATTGACAAAATGCTTCTTTGCCTGTGTAGCCAAAAGTCCTTGCACCAGCCCTCACTGAATGTTATAATCATAACCAACATGAAACATGACAGCTAGTGACAAGGATCTGTGATTGAACCCTACAATGACTCTCATTGGCAACTTGCCAGATACAGAAAATATTACCTATATGGGTTGAAATAATTATTTTTTTGAGTAGTTATGTGCTTGAGTCTGAATAAAAAGCTGACTGAAATCCATGTTCCAGAATCTCTGTGACATTTGGGGACAATAACTGACAAAATAACATGGCACTGCATGTTTTAATTGTGACCAAACAGGAAACATAACAACCCAAACTTTCGGTGGCTATCCAATCACAGACCCAATGCAACTCAGTGAGAAGTCCTTGCAAGGTAGGGTTCTGGGTAATTGCCTGTCTCTTGAGTTTAGCTCCACTGAGCTAGGCTGTAAGGAAATAACAGGACTTATTGTTTTATTGACAGTCAGGGGGATGAAACAAAGTTAATTTATAAAAGTGCCAATTTCTATTCATGTCTGTACTTTTTGTAAAATAAGGATACACTCATCACACATAAAGCATTTCAGCAAGGTAAAGTGCATAGGGGTCTGGAGTGTCCCTTTAATGCATAAACAATATTGCATTAAATATTTTTGTATCATGATTGTGGCTTTTAAAAGGAATGGCATATAGCACCCGGGACAGATTTAAGGGTACACATATAGACTCCATGGTGGTTGGAGTCTATATGTGCATCGTTTCTGCTAGAAATGATGCACATACTGAAATATTTGCACTTTTGTGCCAGGTGCTAGATGAATTACTGACACACATGATTAACCCCATTAAGGATTGTCACGGCAAATATGGTACGTCCACGGCATATATGCACTTACCTGATCGCTGGCGATCCCCCAACGGCGATCTCCCGATGGCGATAGCGATGTGGGGACTTGTCTGGCATCCCAGGCAGTGCCCATGCAGCTGATCCACCGAGGGTCCTCTTGATCACATGGCCGGAATAGGCTGACACATGGCTGACTCCCCCATGCCTGTAAAAAAGGTTTTAAAAGTTTAATAAAGTTCTGAAACACTTTATAAATGAAATAAAAGTACTTAGGTCATATATATATATATATACATTATAATTTTATATATATATATATATATATATATATATATATATATATATATATATATAAAATTATAATGGATATATATATATATGACCTAAGTACTTTTATTTCAACAAAATAAGTCACAGGGGCCATAGTCAAAAGGTAAAAGGCTAGCAAGTAGTCCTCTCCAAAACCCAGTTGTGAAGTGGATTTTGTCACAATACATTTCACTGCTCTAAAGCCCAATAAAAAAAAAAAAAAAATATATATATATATATATATATATATATATATATATATATATATATATATATATATAGTAATAAATAAATACATTTTAAAAAATTAAAACAATTTTTAAAAATAAATAACATTTAATTAAAAAAAATTTATATACCGGTTTAAATTTGTTATAACTGTATTTTTATAGTAATATACATATATATTTAAGTCAAAATATATTTAGAATGACTTATTAATACATATATCTATCTACCTATAGCTATATATAAATAAAATAATAATGGAAAATAATAATAATATATATATATATATATATATATATATATATATACATACATACACATACACATACACATATATATTTAAATTCTACAAATATATTTATATAACATTTTTACATAATTAAGTTAATTTATTAATTACAATTTGAGGTACCTGCCTGACAACCCTGGCAGAAAGTCCAGAAAATTTGGTTCGCAAGCCCTATATTTAACCCTGTAACTTTGCTTTACTCGGGAGACTTCGCTGAACACAAACATTAGTGTTTCAAAACAGTGAAATGTATCATGACAATGATATCGTCAGTGAAAGTGTCATTCTTTGCATTTTTCACACACAAACGTCACTTTCACTGACGATATCATTGTTGTCATACGTTTTACTGTTTGAAACACTAATATTTCTGTTCAGCAAAGTCTCCTGAGTATAACAGTACATACTCCCTATGTACAGGTTTTATGGTGTTTTCAAAAGTTACAGAGTCTAATATAAGGCTTGCATTTTAGTTTTTTCACATTGAAATTTGCCAGATTGGTTTTGTTGCCTTTGAGACCGTATGGTAGCCCAGGAATGAGAATTACCCCATGATGACATACCATTTATGAAAGTAGGCAACCTAAGGTATTGCAAATGGGATATGTCCAGTCTTTTTTTGTAGCCACTTAGTCACAAACACTGGCCAAAATTAGCATTTAATTTAGTTTTTTGCATTTTTTACACACAAACAAATATGATCATTGTTTGTGACTACAAAAAAGACTGGACATACCATATGTGTAATATCTTGGGTTGTCTACCTCTGCAAATGGTATGCTATCATCAGGGTAATTCTCATTCCTGGGCTACCATTTGGTCTCAAAGGCACCATAACCAATCTGGCAAATTTCAATGTGTATAAACTGAAAAATGCAACGTGCTATATTTCACCTTGTAACTTTCCAAAACACCATAAAAACCTATACATGGGTACTGTTTTACCCTTGAGACAATGCTGAATACAAATATACTTTATTGCAGTAGCAGCTAACAGTATTATGACATTCACAGTTAAAATGCCATGCAGAACTAAAACATTTACATTTCTTAATTTTTCCAAATTTTTTCATTTCATTTCATTTTTTTTTCATATTAAATTATGTTTCATATATAAATATTTTATATGAAATGAAAGCCGTGTTTCTCCTGAACAAAATGGTATAAAATAAGTGTGGGTGCATTTAATACGAAAAGAGGTGAATTACAGCTAAACACAAACACTGCAGAAATTTAAAAACAGCCTTGGTCCTTAATGGTAAGAAAATCGAAAAACGGTCTGGTCACTAAGGGGTTAAGGCAGCCTATAACTCTTTTCTAGACTGTGCAATTTCAATACTAGGCAAAGTTTACGTCTGTCGTCTGCACACACAGCATGCTGAAGACAGATGTGGTAATCTTCTTCCTTCTACGAAACATGCTCTTTCCTCTCTCCTGCCCTCCCTCCCACCCTTCTTCCCTCCAAGAAGTAACTCCCACCTGCATGTATTTTTTTAATCCCTTCCCCTGTCCAATGCTTCCCTCCCTACACTATCTGCCTCAGAGAGGGTCAAAACAGTATAATCAAATTCTTCTGTATGATAGGCATTTAATTCACAATTCGGCACCGCTGACATTAGATCGGTTGTGAAATACTTTTAGCCCTGAGTTGAAAGCAGACCCTGCACCAATTTAAAATGTATATACATACACTAAAAGGACACTCCAAGTTGGAGC